CTAGGCCTCTTTCACTTTCACCGTGTGATAAGGTTCGGAGCCATAGTACCTACGACCCCGCCTCTCCCAGCGTCTTTCTCCCTTCATGTCGATATTCACCACTCGCTCAACTTGATATCTCTCAGAGTAGCCTCAAGAGTCTCAAACACTCAGATCACCGCTGTAACTTCATCTCCGTACAGTGGAGTCGAGCCGTGAGAAATATACATGCTCTTGCCCTCACTCACTCGGGTGGAGTTATCCTTAGCAGGAAGTATAAAGAGTTTGGACTCTCCAGCCGCTCTGATCGTCAAGTTTCATAACATTTGCACGAATAGAGGGTCCTTTGTCATCCTTCTTCTTTTGTCCTTCATTTTTGCCAGCCAATCCTTATTCAAGGGGTATTTTCGAGTGCACATTGCAAGTCCTGAAGTGAAAAGAACAAGATGACGCAACAAAGTTTGAAGAGAATTCGTGTTCAAACCGTGTTGGCTGATAGGCGGAGGGCTTTGTGATTATTCTAAGAGGGCAACTGCCCGGGTGTATCCCCAAACTTACAAACAATAAGGTAAGCATCCAAAACACATCCTCATTAGTGAAAACTCTCTTATTGTTGGTTCCTATCCGTGTAAAGGAGAGTGTGTGCGCATGCTTAAAATACGTCCCACCCCTCATGGTTGTTTAAGAGAGGGTTTTCTCTCACCAAGAAAACTAGGCCCCGACCAACTGGTTCATAGTGGCTTCTCATGAATAGTGTAAGGCCTACTCATTTTAGGAATGTCGGGCTTATAAGGGTCTGATTGAGAAATTTATTATTCTGGGGTTTTTGGGCCTTTCGCGGGTGTCTATGGTGGTCTGTTGACCATCAGAGATCTTGTCAATATAGTTCTAGTTCTTATATATTTTGTGCATGTTAGAGGGCAGAATTGTAAATGAAATTTCGTCATGTTCTGCTGTACCTTTGTTTGATAGTGACAAAACTTGGTGGACATCTTTGGGGCATCAAATGTTAGCCTCTCATGCTCTTTAAGACTAGGATAACACCTTTCAAACCTTTCCAAAATTAGGTTTATTTGGTCACGGGCTTCCATAGTCCATAGGTATTTTTTATACCTGTAAGTCTAGGTTACAACTCTCTGTCCTCTTTTATTTGTATCGAGGATACAAGTGTGCCAAAATGTCATACAACAACAAGTCAAGGGTGATATACTGGATCTTTCCTTGACGTTCTACCCAAGCACAGGCCACCTTGGAATATAAAGAGAAGAGAAAAGAAGATAGAGGAAGAGAGTTCCTCATAGATGAGTCAATGACGATATACTAGGTCTTCCCTTGACATTCTACCCGAGCACAATTCTCCTTGGAATTGAAAGATAAAAAAATAAGATAGAAGAAGAGAGTTCCTCAGAGACGAGTTAAGAGTGATACACTGGGTTTTACCTTGACGTTCTACCTGAGCACAAACCTCCTTGGAATGGAAAAAGAAGAGAAAGAAGATAGAAGAAGAGGAAAGTGAGAAGGGAGAGAGAGAGAGAGGAGGGGAAAGATAAAGAGGAGAGAAGAGAGAGAGAGTAGATAAAGAGGGAGAGAAGAGAAAGGAAAGGGATGAGAGAGAAGAGAGAGAAAGGGGAGGAGGCTGGTAGATTAGCCGTTGGTCTACTCGAGAGAGAAAGAGAGAGAGAGAGAGGGGGGGAGGGAAGGAGGGAGGCTGATGGCTTGGCCGTCGATCTAGAGAGAGAGTGAGAGAAAGAAAGATAGAGAGAGAGGCCGATGGCTTTGTCGTTAATCTGGGGGGAGAGAGTGAGAGTGTGTGAGGGACAGGGAGAGTGAGAGGGAGAGAGCAAAGAGGCCAGAGGCCAGAGGCTTAGCCACCAATCTAAGAAAGAGGGAGAAAAGTGAAAGAGAAAGAGAGAGAAAGAGAGGGAGAGGGAGAGTGAGAGAGAAGGAGAGAGAAAATACCTAGGTGGGATAGACCAGTGACTGGGGAATCAAGGGGCTTGGGAAGAGGTATATAGATTTAGGGAATGGGATGTAGGAGGTATGTTGTATGTTAGGGAGTTGGGTGTATAGTAGAGAGTAGGGTGTATGGTGTATGATAGGAAGAAGGGTGTATGGTGTATGGTAGGAAGTAGGGTGTATGGCGTGGGGTAGGGTGTATGGTAGGGTAGAGTGTATGGTAGGGTAGGGGAATTCTCTCAAGGGGAAAAGTTTTCTCTCTCCTCTCTTGAGTTAAGCAAGAAGTCTGCTACTCAATTTTGGCTCAAATTTATTAGCAAATGAGGGAAGAGAGAGAGAGGTAGGAGGCCGGTGGCTTAGCCGTTGGTTTGTAAGAGAGAGAGAGAAGGGGGGAAGAGAGAGGGAGGCTAGCAACTTGGCTGCCGGTTTAGAGAGAAAGAGAGGAGAGAGAGAGAGAGGCCAACGGCTTGGTCGACGATATGGGGGAGAGAGAGGGGGAGATGGAGAGAGAGCGAGGGAGAGAAGGAAGAGTCCAACAACTTGGCCACCGATCTGATAAGGAGAGAGAGAGTGAGAGAGAGAATGAGAAAGGAAGAGAGAGAAAAGAGAAAGAGAGATAAAGGAAGGGAGAGGGAGAGAGAGAATACCTACGTGGGATAGACTGGTGACTAGGGACAGACACCTAGGCTCGAGAATCTGGGGGCTTAAAAAGACTGGCACCTTGAGAGAGATAAGGGTGTAACAACGGAAACTTAGAGGTAATATCGTAATAACAGTAATTATAATGCATGTATACATTATTTTTTCAGATAATTGTAGCTAAAGTATTGACCTCTCTTTCTTGACGGTTCACACTATTTGCATGTGTCTATCTCCCTCCTCCCTCTTGCCACAAGCCTCCCTCGGACTCTCTTTCCCTCTAACCCGTAATCGGGTACGAAGAAGTTCACCCCACTTTCTGTATTCCCTATATTATGACCCATGTAGACGTGCCCTTCCTTCTTGTCATGGAGGTACAACAAATCCCCTATATTATGACCCATGTAGACGTGCCCTTCCTTCTTGTCATGGAGGTGCAACAAAGTATGAGGTGCTCAAATGAAACTCTCAAGTTCACAAAACTTAATAAATTGGTCAAATGAAACAACTTATGAAAAAATTGGCTCAATAGAAATTCTCAAGCTCCTTTGCACAGCAAAAGGAGCAGATTCACGAAATCAGTAAACTTTGACGATTCTTTCCAAAAAATTCTCATTGAAGGAGATTCCCTCAATGACATCAACTGGTGCAGGAACTCTGCTTTCACCCCTTGGTAATGGATCCATCTTCGGGGGCTTTGTTTTTTTTTGTTTCTTTCTTTGCTACTTCTCTTTGTAATTTTTCATCCCATGAAAAGTTACCGTCAAATGTTAAAAAAAAAAAACAACTTATCAAAAAAGTGTACTTTTACAAAGATCATTTTAATTAAATATCTCCTCAGCAATAAAAAATACGCCACTGCCCATTCGATTTGAACTATTGAATAAGCAAGGGTATTTTAATAATTTATCCTAGTCAAAAGCCCCAAGCCAAATGAAAATCCCTCCATTCATCTCATATTCCAAGGAATAAGTTTTTTTTCCATTAAATTGCCCTTTTCTGAATTGGAATATGGACGAAGTCCTATTTGGTTCAAGTTAAATAGCCTGTACAAAAGATAAATTATTACTTGTTCTAGGTTTCAAACCAAAGTCAAGTGTTATTTTAATTAAAATATTTTTTTTTTTTAGTTTAGAATTTGAAACAAATTAAGGTATATTAGAAGGGTGTGGTTTGTATAGACCGAAGCTCTAAACAATCAAAGTAAAGCCCACCTTCAAATAGTGTTGAGAAATATAATTTCAATACGAGAAATCTTTATGATAGCCTTAAAATATATTTTTATATCTAATTATAAAATTTAAAGCTTAAAAAATAAAGTGGATCAAGCTGATCTATGAAAACTTGAAAGTCTTGAAAATTGATTGTCCAAAATACGCTACAATATGCACTAAAATTTGAAGATATTTGGGCATCAAACGACCACTTCTAGTGAATATTTTGATATACGCTCTAATTTGATTGTTTAGAGATTAGGCTCTATATGAACTTTTCCCATATTAGAATTAATCCACTGGTATTACGGACTCTATATGAACTTTAAATAATTGAGAGTGATTGTGACATCTTCGGACAAACTATACACCTCCCTTTTGACCAACTTTGAGTAGAGATATTTTGGGTATTTTTAATGAAATATTTTAGCATTAATAAATAAGCTGATTTGACCCTCTTTAGTTGCTGATTTGAGGTGGTTTTACTATTTTAGTTATGTTTTCCAAAAGGATGCAGTTTAATAAAGCCTCACCTTGAAACCTCGTCTAGAAAATACTTGGGGCATAGAAAGTCTCCATGATGGCTATACTCTACCGCTATTAATTTGTAGCTTAAAGTGGACAGATTTGTAAGATTTGTGAACACTTGAAAATAGATGGTTTAAATCACTGTTGGAAAAATCAGATGATCTAACTGCTAACCACCCAGTTAGATCGGAACGGGTTAGTTTCGGTTTTGAGAGGGTTTAGTGATCGACCGATAATTAAACAAATTTTAAAAAAATGTATATAAATTTTGAAAAATAAAGAATTTGATTTGTAATACATTTTTTAGTTTTCTTGATGTTATGGTAAAGATTAAAAATTGGTTTGATTATTAATAGTCACTTTAATTCAAAATTCGATTTGTTAAAATCCAATTTTTCATTAATTTTGACTACATAGAACTTGTCCAGTTAGAACGATTGAATCAGTTTACTGGTTAGGCTTGTTAAACCGCTTCCAAGCCCATGTCCGATTTACCTTTTCAGTTCGATTTTACAAATAATTGTTTACAATCATAATGATCAAGATCGAGATAATTGATTTAAAAGTTTTTCGATGAGGCTTTAATTTATTTTTATTTTTTTTATCTTTATAAAGCCTACACGTTATTTTAACCTTTTCCCTTTCCAAGAAGATTAGAAAACTCTTCCACTCAGCCAAAGAGGGAGACAACCACACGCATCATCACAAAAACTTACAACATACCCATTGTAGCAAGATCACTGTAATAAAAACTTACAACATACCCACCCCACTTGTAAGTACTATCGCTCTATAAAACTCTTCTTTCAAAACAATGCTTTTGGGAGAGAGAGATGGTAAAAGCACAAAACTATCTACACCACCACTCTCTAAGCAGGAGAGACCTTAACCTCATCCACAATAGGACCACACATGGTGCCAGGATCATCAACCTTAGTGTGATAGAACGAGCTGAAGAAAGTGATCCTAGTCCTTGGCTCAAGCGCCATGAACCTCATCTTCCCAACCTTATAACCCCCCTGCCCCCTCGATTCAAATGGAACCTTCACTGTATCCTTCCCTGCGAAAGCCTCAACAAGCATGGATCCGTGGCACCCATTTTTAGCATCACCCACTATGAAGCTAAGAGTGTAAACCTTTTTGGGCACTGTTCTTATGAGTTGAGCGATTGCACTCTCTCTCCCTGCCACCAATTCGACGGCGGCAGCGCCGAGGGGAACGGTGAAATGGTGAGAGTCCAAGTATCTGACGGCCTTGATGGACTCTATGATCCAACCTGGGAGAGGGGAGTTGATGTCATTTTGCTTGGGAGGGAGGAGGATACCGGAGGTTGAGTTCTTCAAAACGTGGGGGCCCTCTTCGAAGCCTCCGTTCTTTACCAGGTTGTCTGCAATTTTAAAGGAGGAAACACACATCTTTAGTTTTAACAACTTTAATTCTCTCTCAAAACCCAACCAACTAATTGGAAAAAGCTATAATGATGATGGCCTCTCTCTCTAGAATGATTCACCAAACATAAGCTTCTCTTCTATAGTTTATTTGCACCTAGCCATAGTTTTTTTTTAGGAAATTGGTTTGATAGGCTGCGGCCCTTGTAATTAAATAACTCATTAAAAATTACAATTCAAGCATCAGAAAACTTTTGCATGGATTATCTCCACTTGAACATTATGGTTGTAAAAAAAAAAAATGATTTTAAGCTCTAAAAGTAGTATATATTGTGATAAATTATCTAGACCGTCCATTTAACAATAAAAACAGTATTAAAAAAAATTAGTTCCAAATTTTAATATCAATGTTGGAAATTGATTTTAGAGCGATCGGACAAGGACTTGGAATGGAGCTTTAAAGTCTAGGTCTTATAGAAACTTCATCTTTTTTTCAAGAGGTTGGGGATACTGCTCCTTAGGGTCGCACGACTACCCTCGACCAATGCACTCAACCGAGGCGCCCAAAAGAAAAGATCTAAGTAAAATAATTATTTAAGGTGTGATTTCTATTAGGTTGCAACCTTAAGCAATCCAATTAAAGCGCACCTCCAAATTTTATCATAACATGTAATTTTGTTGTAAAAAATTCTTAGGATTATCTTAAAATCTATTTTCATATCTAATTAGAAAATTTTAAACTCCAAAAATAATAAAAAATCAAGGAGATCTATAAACATATGAAAATCTTGAAAATTGACGGCCTAAATAATGTGTTGCAAGATGCACTATTTATGAGATTCAACTTTTCTTTTATATATATTCATACATCTTAATGTCAAGATTTTTTTCTATATATATTCATACATCTCGATATCAAGATGATCATATAGAAGGTTTTTCAACATTAAAACAACCTTTCCAATAGATTTTTGAAGTGCATCTGTAAATCTACATTTTAAGATTGCAACTTTATATAAACTTTTCCCAGTTATAAAAGGGTAAAAAATAATAAAAATTTGAAAACTGTACTAGAAGTCATTAGAAGACTTAAGAGTACAAAAAAAAAAAATATCTATAAAAGATGGCTTAGTGAAATTTTTGATTTAGATCCTGAATATTGAACAAATAAAAAATTCTAAAAGTTACCGTATGATCTTAAACGCAATCAAAATCAAATATTTCTAGCTAACACTTTAGTATTTTACTTTTTTTCTTACTTTTGAAATTTGTAATATTTTTTAAAAAACATTTCTTGTAAATTGCCCCATAACTCGCCCATACCCTGTCCTGCTACCCGGCCGGCCCCGTATACCGCAGTTTCTCTTCTCTCACGAAAAGATGAATAATACATCTCTGTGACGCAGAGTTCCTGCAAATGGCAAGTCATACCTTTAGTTGGAAATGGAGGAAACAGCTCCTTAATAGCAACGGCGTCCAACAAAGGGCCACAAGCCGGATCCTCCTGCGCCCCAATATTGTGAAATGTGATCTTTGCAACATTGGAAGTGGCCCTGAACCCCCAAGCATAAGTGTCCCCTCCATCGCTGCTGTAAAGCGTCTGCAATGGCAAATCACCCAACAGAGGGGGAACAGAGACCCTTAACACTTCGTCTTGCGCACAAGTTCTCGAAGAGCCGAAAGTGAGGGAATAGAGAGACCCATTCTTTACAGGGATGGATTGAGAGATCGAGGCCTCGTTTCCAAGCCTCACAGCGTGGACACCGTGCGCAACTGCGAAGAACATGCCACCGGGTTGAGGGCCGCCAGATATGTATTCGACGAGGCCGTGGATCTCCCATTTGGGGAGAGAGAATCTGCCTTGGATCACAGTCTTCTTCAGATCTGATGGCTTTGGTGGGTCTTCGAAGTTGCCATTGGGGAGGAGAGCTAAAGCAGAAGAGAGAAACAAGACAATGTGAGAGAATCACTAGCTGTTAAGAGAGAGGGATAAAACCAGCACCTTTGGGAGCAATATCAAACTAAGTACTGAAACCCCAAAACCCTTACGATCTCCTTTTTGGAGATTGAAATCTACAAAAAAAAAAAAAAAAACAGAGCATGTCAAAGCTAACCAGCAACATCTCAAACTGGAAAACATCGATTGACAAAGAGAGAAGCACATTTTGAACTGGAAAAACAGGCAGAGAGAGAGTACACTGTAGAAAAATCCAAGGAAAACAGTGTCTCAGAGATGAAGATAAAAAAAGAACAATGTAATCATCCCCAAATCCACTAAAACCCAAAAAGATAAATGTTGTAAATCCAAATAATAAAAAAAAAGTAAAAGAAAAAGAAAGGATGGATTTTAAATAATCTTATAATCCTTTCAAAGAAAGATGAGGATTGATATGCTTACCATCAACATCTTCAGCTGTAAGAGCAGGTTGACAGTTATAAAAGAAGAGAAGAAGAGAGCAGCTTATAACCCTCAAACCTAATCCTGAACCCATTTGGAGCAGCAAAAGCAGAAGACCACAGCAGAGAGAGGGAGTGATTTCTCAGAAAAAAAAAAGAGAGAGGGACAGAATAGCAAATATATGTAGTGAGAGAGAGGGCAGGAGTTCACATTTATACTTCAAATTAGAGAAAGAGAGACAAAAATGTCAGAAATCATGTTAGGGAGAGACGCCTAATCGGAGGTGGGCTGTCGGTTAACTGCAACATTTTCTCCACATATTCAGGCTTATGGCACGTAATTAATCTATATTTATGATAATAACTAACTACATTAATTGCAATTAATTTACCACATGTAAAATTGTTAAAAAGATTTGCTTTTTACTTTTTGGGATTGTATACAATCAAATTTTTTTGCTTTTACTTTTGAAAGTGTATACAACCAAACCATCTACTTTTAGTACACGAAAGTGACAATTATTATCGCTTGTGAAATCTGATAGCTTGGTACGTTACAAAGGACAAAACTTCTTTTAAACTTTGAGTTTTGTCAATGAAATAAATTCAGCCATTTAATTTTATATTCAATGGTCAAAATTAATTGTGATCACCTTATACAAAAGGTAAATGGATTCATTATATACTTTCTTTTCACTTTTTATCATTGTATTTCTCTGGAAAAAGACACGTAAGGAAAAACTTTATGTAAAGTTGCAATCTTAGTTTTAGGATGTTGCTATAAATGTATCTTAGTTGTAGGATGTTGCAGCGATCTACACTGTTCATTTTATTCGGATAATAAAGTTTTGATATTTAAAGTTGTAAATCTTACATAGAATGGCGAATCATGATTTATAAACAGACCCCAATTATTTGATAAAACACTTTTAATGATGATAAAGTTGTAATGTTTATTGTAAAATGTTGTAGTAATGTACACCATCCATTTTATTAAGATAAATATTGATATTATCTTCTTTTATTAAAAGAGAATCACTTTTTATCTTCGTATTAAAAAGGCAAGCATTAGTCATTGGGAAAAGCTCTAATGATGATGATGATGATAAAAGAAATAGTCTAAATTCCAATTAAAATAAAAGTTATAGTACATCACAACTTTATTTTTACAAAAAAAGTTGCAACCTTACACAAATCACACTCATGCTAAAATCATAATCTCAAATAACCCCCTTAGTTTGTAGAAACCCCATAGACACCCTCCATATTAATATATAAAATGATGTTTAATCCTTTCCTTATATTTTTTATTATCCAAATTATAATATTTATTTTTATTTTTAAATAACCCAACATATAAATAGAATTTGAGATGTCTTATCTAACCTACTAGATTCATGAGATGAGAGACATATTGAGACTCTAAGGGGAGTTGAAAGAGAGAGGAGGAAGAGGTTCCCCATGAGGAAGAGAGAAAGAAAGGAGGAACTTTTCTAGGGTTTTAATAAAAAGTTCTTTAATGGTAACTTTTTATGATGGATTTTTGAAGTGCATCTTTAATTCTACATTTTAAGATTGTAACCTCATATAAACTTTTTTTATTTAGATAATGAAAAATATGCTTTTTTATATAACTTGGAAGAAGTCCTTAGGCATTTTTTAGGGGAGATTATATGGAATAATGATTTTAAAGATGGGTGTGGTTTCTATAAGGTTACAACCTTAAACAATCCAATTAAGTTGCACCTCCAAATTTTATTATAACGTGTAATTTTGGTGTAAGAAATTATTAGGATTATCTAAAACTCTATTTTCATATCTAATTATAAAATTTCAAACTCCAAAAATGGTTAAAATCAAGTAGATCTATAAACATATGAAAATCTTGAAAATGGATGGTCTATAAAATGTGTTGCAAGATGCACTATTTTCGGGAGTCAAAATCTTTTTTTTTTTTGTCATACTCATACATCTCTACGTCGAAACGATCAACTAAAGGGTTTTTCAACATTACAACAATATTCTCTAATGGATTTTTGAGGTGCATCCGTATTTTTACATTTTAAGGTTGCAACCTTATATAAACTTGGGAAGATTACAAAAAACCCCAAGACTATACTTTCTATGCAACCTATCCCCAACCTAATTTTTTCTCTCACTTTTTTCCTCAAAATACACTTTCTATGCAAATTCCCCCCAACTAAATAAAAAAAATAAAAAATGCCAAAACTACCCTACCGTACTTTTACCTTACTCACACCTCTCTTTCCTCTATCGCAACAAAATAGGGGCTCCGGTACTGTGTAAGTATGGTTCGACAGTAGAGCTCGGACACTATGTAAAGTGCGGTCCAACAGTAGGGCTCCAGCACTGTGCAAAGTACGGTCCAACAGTAGAGCTCTGGCACAGTGTAAAATGCGGTCCAGCAGTGCAAAGAGCGGTCCGACAATTGCAAAGGGCGCTCCGATAGTAGATATTACTGGATTTCAGGGCTCCGACACTGCTCCGGTATTATGTAAAAGGCGGTCCGGCAGTACTCAGTTTCGGTCCAGTAGTTGTCTTAGGGATGTCTGACACTAATACGTTCCGGCAATGTGCTACTGGGGTCCAAAACTTAATGTCAAATTTGGCCAAAATGATTTTTGTGTGAAAAAAACATTTCTATCTAAAACAAATAAACCTTTTTCTTTGCTGTTGTTTGCATAGAAAGCTTGTTTTGAAGAAAAAAGTGCGAGAAAACATTAATTTGGGTAAACTGTTTAGCACGTGTCGTCCTAGGTGTTTTTTTGTTGTTGTGATTTTCCCTACAAACTGTTTCCTTTAAAGATTAGGTATACCTCTTACCATCTTTCTATGGAGAGAAAAGATGGATGAATTTCAAAAGGACGTGACCCAAACCCGCTCGACCCTTTCATTTATTTCTGTCCTTTTCTCACAGGATTCAATCTGACTCCCTACCATGTTTTGAAAAGTTAAAACATTTTATGCTCTTGAGGGAGCATATTGTTAATATTCTATTGAATAAAACGCAATTTTGGAGTACTTTTAAGACATCAAGTTTGAGGCATAGTCCTCTCAGTCCATATACTAAACTCGAATTGATTCTCTATGGGCTTGAGAAAAATAATGGGAAAAGATTGAATAAAAACTGTCTAATTTTTTTGAAAGGTGAGATCTAAGTGATAAAAATTTCAAATTTTTCTTCTTTTAAACATGATTATCTAAATATTTTTAGGTAATTCTCTATTTTTATTTGTATAAAACAAACTTTCCACATAAGCCTTCTTCCCGAGAGAGTAAGTGTGCAGCTTGCTCCCACAAAAGCATAGATACATGCTCCAAAAGAAGAGCATGTCATATTTGATAATATGGCTCGTCTTTACATGTTTCACAATTTTGTAATTAAAAATAATTGCTTTGCACACGGCTGGTGAGGGACCCCCATTTATTGAAAAATAACCATCCATTGCTGAGAAATTGTGCTTGCACTCGAACTGCTCCAAACCTTTTTGCATTCACTTTTTTCCCGACCTTTTAAATTAGATTTATGAATGGCACGCATTTGAACATTCGTTGAAATGACATAGGGAAGAGTTAACTCTTGTTAGAAAGATTATTAGATGGTTAGAAAGATATTAGAGGAAATTATGAATCTAATCCTAGTAAATTTGATGAATCCCAGTCAATTTGATGATAAACAAGAAGGTCCAAAACTATGATCCGGCTCGAGACACGGGCTCTGTCGAAGCCGAGTAACCCCACGAGTCCGATTCTTCCAAATAGTGTACAAGTCCCAAAAATCTTAAAAAGCAAAATAAAACAGAAAATTTGTTTTATTTAAACAAATATATTTTTAACTATTTTTATTTTATTTTTAACAAATTTTTTTTGTTTAAAAAAACTGAAAATTTGTTAAAAATAAAATAAAAATAGATTAAAGTTTTTTTTGTTAGAAACAATACTAAAAGACCAAATAAGATGGAAAAATGTATAGGAGATGGATTTAGAAAAAATTGATATATAGCTAGAGCCATTTTTTCTAGGAAAAATGTATAAAAGATGGATTTAGAAAAATTGATGTATAGCTAGAGCAATTTCAGAAAAATTTTAAAAAGAAAATTTAAAAATAGGAAATATATCAAAAAAACTCACAATAAAAAATAAAAATTATATATAAGATATTTATACATCGATTATACAAATTAATATAACTTTTATGATTTGTTTAAAAAACCTTTTCCCTGAGTTTTACCCGACTACTTGGCTCAGCAAGTGGCCAAGTCAAATATCCCTCCATTGAGTTCTCAATCAATCATAAAAGAAAAAAGTTTATAAAAAGCATCAATTTTATACTGTTGAAGTAAATTATCCCCCAAAAATCTTCTAGAAGAGAGTGTTTACGATGTCAGAAAACCCTCCAACTAATTATCTCAACCTCAAGAAACATATACATGAAGAAAAAAATAATTTCAAGTCCTAAAAATAGTACATCTTGGTAACAAGTTTTTGGACCTTCTATTTTTAAGTGAATAGAACCCTCAATCTCTAATATATTGTTTAAATGTACATTTTTATAACTAGGGTTGAAAATAAATTTTCAACCCATCATAAGATTCCCCATACCGAAACTACATCTCAAGGCAAATTTTAGAATTGCACCTTACTTCTACAATATAAGGAAGGCACCTTATACAAACCTCACCCATGATGAAAACATATCTTAACCCAACCAATTTAAATGGAGAAAGAATACGAACCTCAACCATGATGAAAACATATCCCAACCCCACTTATTTACATGGAGAAAGAAATGAAAGGCCATAAGCATAAAGGGAAGAACATTTTTATTTCTTCCAATTGAATCTTATATGAAAATTCTTCCCACTAGTTAGTAATAGTTATTTTAAGAAGCCTTCTTCCATATTCCTTTTCAAGAAAAAGCATCACATAAACAATGAGGGGATAAAATTCAAAAGAAATGACCAATAGTATTCAATGTAGAAGGACTTTAGAAACCTCGAATAAGCATGAAGCTTTGAACCAACTTGAACAACATAATGGTGGGTTGGATTTTGATCAGAAATTGAGTAAGGATCGCACATGAGCTTGAGGGTCTATGGAGAGATGATGAATTTTTTTTATTCCAGAGATGCAGATCGAAGTGGGTTAAAGAAGGGGATAATAATACAAAACACATCCATACTATTGCAAACTCATGTAGGAAATCCAACAATGTCAGTGCTATTTCAATTCATGGGGAGGAACCAAGGGATGTGCAA